CACAGGAGACGAGGGTGGTGGAGTCACGCCTCGGGGAGTTCCAGCACCGCGCCAAGGACCTCGGCTTCCACGGCATGTGGGCACCAGCCTTGGCGACCAATGCCAAGGGTCCGCAGGCCAACCACTGTGGGGTTGCAATTTTGGCGCCCACGAATGTGATGATCACGAAGCCTCCCGATGGCGACCCCATTATTTACCCAGGCAGAGTGGTGGCCAGCTTTGTCAATTGGGGAGTTCCTGGTGGGGTGATTGTGGTCAGTGCATACTTAGTGACAAGCATCGGTCTGACGGGTGAGAATCTTTCCATACTGTGGGCCATCGCGCAGAGAGTCGCTTTCTGGAATGCTGCGGGGTTCGGCTGGATCTTAGCAGGTGACTGGAACTCTGACATAGCGGCTCTGAATGCGAGGGGGTGGATTGAGTCTTTGGCTGGGTTGTCTTACACTCCACCGTCGGCCACGTGCTGCAAGGATGGCGGCAATTCGAAGATTGACTACTTCATAGCTTGTGCAAACTTGTCGTCAAGGCTCGGGACTGCAGTGGTGGAGGACACGTACGGCACAGTACCTCCCCCGCATTATCCAGTCAGAATTGATAGTCTGGGTGAAGATAGGCCAGCATGGTGTCTTGTGCCAGATGAGCCAAGGGCTTTCCCTGTTATTCCGCCATGTGGGTGCGCCAGGTTCCCGTACCCGTGGGATGCAGTGGATCATATTTTTCTGGAAGTGAGGGGGGTTTCGAATCTTGCCTTGGTTTGGGACACGGTGCTCGATGGAGTCGATTTCGAGTTGGCTGGACGCTATGACAAGGTTGACAAGGATGCGATTCCGTTCGTTGGCAGGTCAGGCCCTCCACGTTTCAAGTGGAAGCTGCTGGCATGGGAACCTCCGCGCCGTCGTACTTATCGCGAGCCAAAGGTCTATGCGTGGGCGACGGTCAAAAGATGGTGCCAGCATCTCAGGTCGGAGCGGGATCGACTGGGCAGGTTCTGTCAAAGGTTACAGTTGGCTTCTGTGGTCTGCCAGCTTACGCCCCTGCAGTATACCAAGGTGCTGCAGGCCTTCTACGAGGTGGACCAATATTGCCGTAGGATCGCCCGCGACAAGAAGACATGCCACCACCTAGATCAGGACACCGTCGACTTCCTGCTGCGAGGCTTGGGCACGATCGGTGACCGCGACTTCGGTTCGGGCCTGGACAACATCATGCTGAAGGCCGATGCGGTGTTGAAGGCAGCGAGAGGGGTCTCGGAGAAGGCTTGGCGTGGCTGGGCCAAGCAGGCTTTCTTAGGAGGGGCCAGTCTGGCCCATGCTGCTTCCAAGGTGCGCGGCAAGCAGGAGCAGCTCAATTTCGGCGTGAACGCCCAGCCGTAACTGCTGGCAAACCACACCCTCGATGTGTGGGAAGGCGCATGGCGACATCACGACCTGTCGCCCCCAGAGCTGCCGCCAGGCTATGAGAGCTGGCCCGCTCTGCCTGAGCTCGACCACCAGCAAGTGCGGGCTGCCATTCGCAAGTTTTCGACGCGTACGGCAGCTGGGCCGAGCCGCATCTCACCCAGATGCCTGGGCGCTCTGTCGGACCAAGCGCCCGAGCGCATCGCCAAGATGTTTATGCTTTTCGAGCAGTGGCTGTCCTGGCCTCCTGAGCGGGTTTACAGTGAAATGGTTCGCTTACCTAAACCTGACGGGGACGCACGATTGATTGTGCTATCCCACGCGTTGGTTCGACTCTGGGGCAAGCTCAGGAGACCAGTCTCGGCATCGTGGCAGGCTGGCTACCAGTGCGACCAGATGTGGGGCACGAGAGCGGGCCACACGTCTACGGACTCGGCTTTCGATCATAATATTCAGCAGGAGGTTGCGCAGTTGTTGGGGGAACAGACATGTACAATCTTGCTTGATATGAGCAAATGTTATGACATGGTGGACCCACATGCGCTGCTCCGAGAAGGCCAGGCCCTTGGGTTTCCACTGCGTTTGCTTTGGCTCCTCATTCAGAGCTACCAACAGCCCCGCCGAATAAGGGCCTTTGGGAGTGTATCCAGATCTTTTCGGTCCTTCCAAGGGATCCTAGCTGGGTGTACCCACGCCACATACGCCTTGTACTTGCTCACATATAGGTCGGTGCAGAGGGTCTCGAAGGTCTCCCCCACGGTGACCCCGAGGACGCTCATGGGCGACATTGGGCTCCAACATACCTCCCAGGACCCCAGGGAGGCCAAGTACCTTGCGCTGGCCGCGAAGGGTTTCATCCAGGACTCCAAGGGTCTCGGCATGATCTTGAAGGCTTCCAAGTCTGGGGCTGTTGTTGGTTCTCGGAAGTTCTGGAAGGGGGTGCAGAGCCACATGGGCTCCATGAAGATCCCGTACAAAGGCCACATGAGGAACCTAGGTCACGAGCTCACGGGGCCCAAGGTTATTCGGGGTATGGAAAAGAAGCGTCTCAAACAGCTCAGAGAAAGGAAGGCGAGGTTTTCCATGCTGAAGTCTGCGGCCGGCAAGGTCGCGACGGCTTTGTGGCGCACAGGCGCCCTTCCATCAGCGGCGCACGGTGCTGCAGTTGCTGGAGTTAGCGACGTTGCACTTCGAGAGTTGCGTCTTTTCGCCGCCGTCTTGAACGGCGCGCCAGGTAAATTTAACACTGGTGTGACCGCCTACTTGATTAGCCACAAGAGCGAATTCTACGATCCTATTTACCACGCCACTATAGCTATTGTTATTAAATTTGCGGAGTGGGTCTGGGACGGTAGAATACCCGACAGTCGTCTACATCGGGCTTGGGAGGCTCTCCGAGATAAGATCGGCACACTGTCTTGGGCTAACACTCGAGGCCCGATCGGGGCCTGCTGGCTGACTTTACGACGTATTGGGTGGAACCTAGTATTTAGTCATATGGTGGTTGATGATTGAGGCAATGTTTTCGACTTGCGCGTCATGTGCCTTGCCGACCTGAAGGTGTTCCTCACCCAGGGGATCCAGCGTTGGCAGGACGAGCGGCTGCTCAAGCATTTTTACACCGCTGAGCCTGGCGAGCAGATATGGCACCGAGGCTTACGCAACTCGGTGAAGAGTATCAAGTGTGTTCGTAGACTCGGGGCCCTCCAAGCGCACTGGTCAGGGAACCTCCCCATCCCTCAGCTCCAAGATGCCCGTCATAAGGTACCAATCAGGCCGTGTGCAGCTTGTGGGGCCCAGTCTCAGGGTATTTGGGGCCACGTGCTCTACGACTGCCCCGAGCTGCTCGCGCAGCGTGAGGACTTCTTGGACATCTCAGAGGACTTGGAGGCAACCAGAGGCATGCTCTTGAAGGGGGGCGAATGGTATGATGGGCGTCTGGCTTGGGGGTCCAATTATCTGGTCTTTGGGGCCCCTGCTCCTCCTGTGGGTATTCCTGGGCCAGACACTATAAGCTCGGAGGTTCTACTGTGGGGAGACACCGACGGGCCTTGGGGCCCCAAGAGCTACACCGACGGTTCGGGCCTCGCCTCCAGTGTTCCAGAGACTAGGCGGTGTGGGTATTCATGCATCCAGCTGGACCCCACGACCCTTTTGCCTGTTCGTGCAGTGTATGGACCGCTGCCCTTCTATGTGCAGACCGTTGGCCGTGCTGAGAGATATGCGATCAAAATGGGTTTGGAAGTTCATCCTGATCGCGAGCTGTTCGTGTCTGATCTCCTGGGGCTGGTAACCGAGGGCAAGTCTTGGGATCAATCCCTTCAGCACGGTCGAGGCAAGCACGCCAGGATATGGCGCGAGATTTTTCAGGCTGCGCCGCGTCGTGCACTTGAGTACCCAGTTTGTTTTGAGTGGACTCCTGCACACCGTGACCTCGACAGTGTGCTGGAGAATCCTGAGGAGTTGGAGAACTGGCTCGGCAATGCCTGGGCTGATTACTTCGCCAAGGCAGGTGCGGCGCACCACATGATCGCCAACGCGGTTTCTGAGTCGCTCACAGAGGCTCTGAAGGTCCATAAGGCCACGTTGCAGTTTATTTCGTGGGCGTGCTTACGAGTCATCGTCTCGGAGAGTTGGGGTCGAGGTCCTCCGCCGCCCGTTCAGGATCCTGAGGCCCGTGAGGTTCTGAGGCAGCCAGTCGTGTTCGGACGTGGTTCAGATCATGATCTTTGGTGGTGCAGGAAACTCAAAGAGCATGGGTGCAGGAGATGTGTGAGATCGGCTCGATCGGACTCGACTCTAGCTTGGCTTAGGACTGGGCCGGGAAGGAAATGTGAGCCCTCTAGCCTCCAGAGTCTGGCCTGTGCTGAATGGTTTAAGAATTCGGGGGAGGTCTGGGTCAAAGTGTCGGACCCCCGCATTGCCCCGTCACAAGTGCTTGTCGCGGACTTTTTGGGAGAAGGGCCTTGCGAGGCCTCGGAGGGACCCCTTCCTGGGCCCACGGACCCTCCCCAGGAGCCTGTGGTCGGCGAGGTTTCAAACGGTTCGGGGTCGAACGAGCTCATTGCCGAGTTTGCGGCTCTGGGCCACGACGCTTTCTGCGTGAATTCGGTCTACTGTTGCCGTAAGTGTGCTGGCACGACGACCCTCGAGACGTCTCGGAGCGTTCGGAAGCTCCGTCGTCCCTGTGCTGGGCTCTCAGAGAATCCGAGCACGAGGGCCAATCAGCTGGGGTTGATCGACAGGATCTTCCACGGCCGCCAAGGGCGCCCCAAGCGCCCCGAGGGCAAGGCGCAGACATAACTCGTCTTGCCCTCCTGGGAGCGGTTTCGTGGCGTCGGTTTTCCCTGGCCCCCGCCCGCCCTCTCAGTACATAATATGTCCGCCGCCTTGCGGCCCCTCAGGGTTCTCATTTGTTACTGAGGCGTGTTCGGATCGGACGCGCTCTCGGTGGCCCTCACCCTCACCCTCCTCTTCCTCCTCCTCCTCCTCATGAGGCTTGTTTTGGGCGGGCTTGGAGGCGGCCAGAGTTACAAGGCGTCTGAATCGTCATCTAGCCGATGGGCACACCGTGCGTTTGTTTTCCGGTGGCCCTTCGGAATGAGAACATGTGGCTCGAGTGCTCAGCTTTGCGCTTCAAGGCGGCGAGCAGTACGAGCAGGGCCACCCCGATGCCGAGTGCAACCAGTAGCGCCACGCCAGCAGCAATGAGGGCGAACGCGCTTCCAAACAGTCTCTGGCGCGACCGGCTGCACCTAGAATTGAGAATGCGCAAGGTGCTCCCGCAGGCGATGAGTTTTCTGGTGATCATCATTCTGTTCCTGCTCAATCTGGCGATGGAGCGGCCTGTGGGCGCTATGAATGAAATCAAAGAAAACTTCAGGTTCCACTTCAACCTTGATAGTGTCCATGAGGTGAATAACTTCCAGGGGATGTATAGCTTTCTGTACGAGTTCTTGGAGGCAGAGAACGTTTCGATCCGCTCGACGTGGACAAGTACGTCGAACGTGAGTACGACACGCCAGATTTCACGACCGAGACAGAGATGGTTTACTCAAGCGGCTTGCGTCATTCCGCTGATCCCCGAATGACGGGGAGTCGTGTCTGATCTTGGGTTGGCCAGGTGCCCCAGTCATGGTAAAGTTAAGCAGGAGACACGATGATAGATCAACGAATATAGTGATGCTCTGGCCTCTCTGCGCGTGTACGTGAACTTTTGGGGGGCGCCCTCTTGAGATCGCTTTGCAGCTCTCTTGGGTCCGTCGTGAGCCCGCTCGGGCCTTTCTTGGACCTCTCCTACGCTGTCCTGTCGGCCTGCTTGGTGACTTCTTGGATCTCTGCTTTTAAATCGGGGGTACCCTGCAGGCCTGGCGGTACCTTCCCGTTGCCCGATTGGAGTCCGCCTCGGGTTAGCAGGGACTCTCTGAGCACGGACCTGTATAGGCAAATCGTCACACGGCAAGGGGTCTTGGTTGGGAGGTGCTTGTGGATCCTAGGTAGGGGCAACAGGGGGTTGGGGGACTCCAATCATTTCACACGGCTTCTCATTCCCGCCACGCGCGAGTCGGCGGATTTGACCAAACTCAAGCGATTTACGGCAGTGAGTGCAGTCGTCGTCAGGCCACAAATTTGGATGACGCGGCGAGAGAACAGAGATTGCACAGGCTTCGCGACAATGTACGATCGAATCTACAGCTTGTCAAGGTATCCAGCTGCCTGTGGCAAGTCCCGCCACCGTGCCGGTACAGGCTTCTGGGTAGTTGGTGCGCGAGGGAGCACGCAGGTCCGAACCCGTGTTATCTTGTATCTGGTCTTCAGAGGGCCGTAACATTTGGCGCGCTTTGCGTATGGCCGTCTTGGGGGGTGCTGGAAACAAGGTGCTTGACGCCGTCACGCGTGCCACCTCGGCTGTCTTGGGGTTTTGGCTGCGTTCGACGTCCATGAGCCCGCCAGGGGCGATTGTGATGATGATGGTGATGGTGATGATGTGATGGTGACATGATGATGTTGATGCTGATGATGATGATGACGACGATGATACTGGTGGTGACGACGACGACGACGATGATGATGATGATGAAGATGAAGATGAACATGAGGATGATGATGCTGAGGATGATGATGATGCTGATGATGATGATGATGTTGATGATACAGATGATATAGGTGATGACGGTGGTGGTGGTGATGATGAGGATGAGGACGAAGGTGGTGGGTGGGGATGATGATGCTGATGCTAATGATGATGCTGATGATGATGGTGATGCTGATTCTGCTGATGCTGGTGATGATACTGATGATGGTGACGGTGATGGTGATGGCGATGATGATTATGATGGCGGTGGCGACTGCCATCGCGATGGTGATACTGATGCTGATGATGATGGTGGTGGTGATGATGCTGCTGATGATATTGTTGCTAATGATGGTGATGATGGCGGTTGCTGATGATGATGATGGTAATGGTGATGGTGATGGTAATGGTGATGGTGAGGTTGATGATGCTGACGCTGATGCTGATGCTGCTGCTGATGATGGTGACGTTGGTGATGAGATGGGCCAGGAGATGGAGGAGGAGGACGAGGAGGAGGAGGAGGGCCACTGTAAACCCATCATCAGCGATAGTGCAAAAACCATCCCTCCGAGTTCCCTTTTCATAGGTACCTACAAGCATCCACCTTCACTGATGGAAGGGCCCCGCTTGAAGACAACTGTGTAAAAGTCCTGAACCGTGACAGAACACGATTCCTTGGACTTCAACGCGGCGGACCAATGTTACTGCTGCGCCCTGACGATCCTGAGCCGTGCCAGAACGCCATTCTCAGGACCTCAACACCGCGAATCAACGCAGTCATTTCGCGCTGACAGGCCGACACTGTGTCAAAATGTTTTCACCTGGGACGCCGGCTAGAGGAATCCCCGAGACTGTTGCAGACCCTCTTGGGAAGTCACCGCCCGCTGCCCGTGCGGCACCGGCAGACTCTCAGGATGAAGCGTGCGCAGCGCTAAAAGGCGAGAGCAACGTTTGAAAGGCCGCTTGCCCTCCATCCCTCCCTCCCTCCCTCCGTCTCTCCTCCCTCACTCTCCTCCCTCCCTCCCTCCCTCCCTTGCCCTCCATCCGCGAAGCCCTGGCAAGCTTTCAGGACGAACGTGCGCAGCGCTCAGGCGAGAGCCACCCTGCCATAGGGCACCGCCCTTCAGCGAAGCTCCTGCCATGCTGTAAGACGACCGTGCGCTGTGCTTACTCGAGAGCAACATCTTGAACGCTGGTCGCCCGGCACCCGTGAGGCTCCTCCTCCTCCTCCTCCTCTTCCCTCTCCTCCTCCTCCTCCTCCTCCTCCTCCTCCTCCTTCTCTTCCCTCTCGAGATTGTTTTTTTATCCTCTGGGGGGTAACGCTCGTTACCCGGGCCTCGCCCCCCCCCCCCCCCCGTAACGGTAACGCTCGTACGCGGGGGGGGTCTCGGTCTTCCCCTCCAACATGCTGGTGCCCGAAGGCATGCGCACTGTGGTGTGGTGGTCGCAGGCGCACTGTGGGCGCTCGCAGGCCATTGCGGCGCTCGCATGCGCGATGCTGGTGCTTGCGGGCTTTGCGCTTGTACTCGAATCGTCGTCGTCGTCGTCGACGGCGCCCGAAAAACGGCCTCCGGAGTCCGACAAAGGCACAAAAACAACGTCGTCGTCGTCGTCGTCGTCGTCCTCGTTGCTCGTCGCTCGTCGATCATCGTCGTCGCGCGCGCGGGCGCGGGCGTGGTGCCGGGACCACGCGGCGGGCTTTGCGCTTGTACTCGAATCGCAAGCCACTGTGGTGCTCTCAGGCAGAGAGTGCTGCTCGCGCGCATACTATGGCGATCGCAGAGCGCCCCTGCCTCGCCATACCCCGCCCAGCCCAAGCGTTACCGTTACCCGGGGGGCACGACCCCCCCCCCCCCCCGGGTAACGAGCGTTACCTGCCGGAATAAAAAATGATCTCCTCCTCATTCTAACGAATGCGCGCGGCGCTAAAGCGAACAGTACATTTCGAACACGGCCCTCGCTCCATCTGTGAAGCAGCTGTAAATCTACAGCTCAAGGATCATGAGTGGTGATGAAGTCTCGGGCGAAACGCACTACACGCCCTACCAACACGCCTCGGGCTGCGACGGGGAATATTTAGAATGAGAAGGATGGAGGAGGACGAGGAGGAGAAGGAGAAGGAGAAACGCCGTCACATGTAACACCTTTCGTCTTCACTTCTCGATGGGCCTTCATGGACCTGATTAGGGCAGTCTTGGGGTCTCTGTTTGGCCTCTCGGTGGCTGCTTTGGGGCCTTTTTGGGGTCCTCTGTTGGGCGTTCCTGGGGCCTCCTGGGGGCCTCTTGGAGCAGAAGGCTCCAGGTGTCGGTTCGTGTTTCCGTTCTTGGACCCTCGTTGGAGCCGTCTTGGGGCCCTCTTTGGCCGTCTTCGGCGATCTTTGGGCTGCCTTGGAGCCCTCGTGGGCCGTCGTGGAGTTCTCTTGAGGACCAGGCCGTTTTGGGGCAGTCTTGGGTGCCTCGTGGGCCGCCTCTGAGCGTCGGAAGCTCGAAAAGGCGAGAGCCCCCGAACCATTGCAAATAAAAAACAAGGGAAATCAATAATGTTTGCCCCTCAGGGCCCTCTTTCTTGCGCCCCTCTTGGGCGCCTTGTTTGGGCCTCTTGGGGCCTCCCGGGGGCCTCTTGGGGCGGCCTTTCTTGGGGCTCTTTCTTTGGGGGGGGGAAGGGCCCTCGTGGACCGTCTTGGGCACCTTTTGAGCTGCATTGGAGCCCTCGTGGGCGGTCTTGGCGCCCTCGTGGGGGCCTCTTGAGCCGTCTCGGGGCAGTCGTGGGGGCCTCTTGAACCGTCTCGGAGGGTCGAAAGCTCGAAAAGGCGAGAACCGCAGCAATGATGATCTACCTTGCTAGCCTGGAAGTGCACCACCATCTTCTGCTGGGTCTCAACATTTTTTGCGTTCGATACCGACGTCCCGAAAGCTGGCCCAGTTTCTTGATGCTAGTGGTTATGCTGATTGTTCTGCTGGTTGTTGCTATATTTCTAGTTCTTCCTCAGCAGGCCTCTACCTAAACATGATTTAGGTTGGTTTGGTCCATGCTGTTTCCGTTTTCTTTTTGCGTTTCATTCTAAGCGTGTTCGGGCGCACGTTTGCGCGAAGTCTGAACGCCAGTCGCGTGCCCGTCCGGTTTGGCAAATGGGCCATTGTTCTGTTGGACGTTTTGTTTTCGCGCGGACATGCGCCGCGCGTTTGGTTTGCGTTTTTTGTGCGCGAGAATGGTGCCCATGCTTTGCTTTAGGGCTCAACCTAAGCACTGTGTGTTTGGTGCTTATCTAGTTTTCGCTTTTGTTTCTTGTTATTAACTCGATCGGGACAACTTTTTGCGACGTCTGAACGCCAGTCGCATGCCCGTCCGTTTTGGCAATTCGGCCGTTGTTTTGCTGGGAGATTCATGCTCGCGCGTGCCTGCACCGTGCGTTTGCTTTGCGTTTTGTTGTTCCACGCGAGCCGGGTGCCTATGCTTTGTTTTGGCACCCGCGCTGCTTTCGCCGCCTCGTCGCAACTCCTGGGGCGCGCCTCGCCCGTGCTCGTTTTCCAAAACTCTTCTTCCGTTCACTCCAGATTCCAGATCTTCCCCCAGGTCTTCCCCCAGGTCTTCCCTCAGAGTTCTTCTCACATCATTTCCATATCTCTGTATATATACACACATGAGTAGGCCGGGGGGGGGGGGGGGGGGGGGCAAAATCGTTGCCGTCATCCCCCATGGCCGCCCCCCCGAACCTTTGAGGGGTCACAGACCCCCCGGGACTGCCCTGGGCCGCTTCCAACTTGCCCGCGACAGGCCACGCGGGCCGTACAGATGGTCACGACAGCCTGAAGAGGCCCCCAGGACGCCCAAGAGCGGCCGAAGAGGGCCCGTGAGGGCCCTAAGAGGGCCTTCAAGAGGCAAACAAAATACACATTTCCGTCGTAAAACGTACATTTTCAGCATATTCGCTGGCTTCGTCTTCGCAGTGCCCCAGACGCCCCCGAGGAGCCCCAAGACAGCCCAAGAGAGACCCAAGAGGGCCCCAGACGGCCCAAAAGGGTCGGCCTGTGGGGCTCACGGGACCCCCCAAGACGGCCCAAGCGGCCCCGAAGCCGGCCCAGGAGGCCTCCTAAGACGGCCTCAGGGAGGCCCAAGAGGGCCTCGTTCGAAATCATGTTCCCGGAAGCCTCTCCGGGAACATGATTTCCGGGTTCCCAGGACGCCCAAGAGGCCCACAAGACAGCCTCAGCGAGGCCCCAGAGGGCCCGAGATGGCTTGAAGATGGCCGGAGAGGGCCCCAAGAGGGCCTTGAAAAGGCAAACATCGGCCTATTTCCGTCGTAAAACGTACGTTTTCAGCATACTCGCTGGCTTCGTCTTCGCAGTGCCCCAGACGCCCCCGAGGAGCCCCAAGACAGCCCAAGAGAGACCCAAGAGGGCCCCAGACGGCCCAACAGGGTCGGCCTGTGGGGCTCACGGAACCCCCCAAGACGGCCCAAGCGGCCCCGAAGCCGGCCCAGGAGGCCTCCTAAGACGGCCTCAGGGAGGCCCAAGAGGGCCTCGTTCGAAATCATGTTCCCGGAAGCCTCTCCGGGAACATGATTTCCGGGTCCCATGACGTCCAAGAGGCCCATAAGACAGCCTCGGCGAGGCCCCAGAGGGCCCAATTG